CAATGGCTCCCCCAGCAGGGAAGAGTTTGAGTACCTCTCCCCAAAAGCATCCAGGCCCCATGCTAGGTAAGGAAACCAGGCAGACCGGGGGTGACACCTCTTGGCTGCGTCATCTTGGGTAAGTCTCTTAACCTCTCTGAGACCAGCTCAAAATGAGGTCAGAAATAACTGTTACAGAGTGGGGTGAGAGGCTTTGTACTTCAGAGCAGACATCAATTTCAAGGTGAGCTAAGCCAAAACCAACACCTAGCACCCTAGATTACCAGGTAGACCCCTTCTTTCCCACCCCCTGCCAGTCCTGACCAAATCTGGGGTGGGCCCTGCAATGCCCAGCACGCCAATCTGAGCCCAGGGTCCTGTCACTCAGACAGAACGCGCCACTATTCCTCGACGCAGAACTAATAATTAGCTGTCACGAGTTAATAATAAAAAAAATAATAATCCATGCCACAACACACATGGATTTAAACTAATCTTAATTTGGAGGGAAAATAACAACTCACACAAATATATCACATGCAAGCCGTTTAAGACAACCTGCGAGGGGGTTTATCTCCAGGTTCCAGCTCAAGCAAGTTACTTCATTTCTCCCACCGGCCAAGCTAATATTCTTTTTTTCCATATTTATTTTATTTATTCTGGAAAGTCTGAAATGGACATTCTCAAAGCAGCACACAAACCCTCCAGCTGATCAAAAGTCCTTTTCTCCCGCCCATTTCACCAAGCCATGGGTCACTAGGCCCCGACACCAAGCCCCCTCGGAGTCCTGGCTGCTGGCAGATACCCTGCCGGGGCTGGGCAGGCCTGGCACTTCCCGGGGTGCGGGTGAAGATCTGTCCCATGGCGGGGCCCTTGCGGGGAGCTGCCTGCCCCCTCCAAGCCTGGGGGACGCCCCCGCTGCCACCTCCTGCATCCTCCAGAAGCTGACATTTGGGGTTTGGGGGAGGAGGAAAGAGAGGCAAAAGGGCCCCCTCTGGCTGACAGCTAATGGCTACTGCCTGGGGTTCCTGCTTCATTGGGTTACGGAGGGGGTGACCACAGGCCAGACGCAGCCCCCGTGATCGCACCCCCCCACCCCCCATCCCCCACACAGCGGCTGTGAGAGGCAAACCCTAGGGCGGAATCTGGGGGCATGGCTGACAGCTGTCCCAGGGAGGGTCCAGGGTTCCGACTGAGAAAAGCAAGTGCTTCCTCCACCTCCTGGTCCCCCCGCCACGGGACCCCAACTGGGGCTCCACAGCCCTTGTTTCCTTCAACCCCCCATGTATCACAGAGAAGCAGGTGAAGCTCGGTAGGTGAACTGACTTGCTGGGTGGACCTAGAATTCAGTCCTGCCCCCCTGCAGGCCCCTCCCCAGGGCGACCCCCATCACACCTGTCACAGAGGGACATGGTAGGGGGCAGGGAACCACTCAACCTGGTAAGAGCTTCTCACGAGCCCAATTCTCAAAAGCAATGGCAGTCTCTCCACTCCCCAGGAGCCATGCACCTGCTGCTCTACCACGGGGGGTGGGGGGGTTGAGGGGGGGACAGGGCCCCCGCGAGGGACAGGGCAAGGACATATTTGTAGCACCACGTGCGAGGCACATGTCAGTCAAATGGCATCATTGTTCACAGGGACATTGACAGAGGAGGAGACCAAAGCTCAGACGGTCAAGTGCAGCTGCCCCGGCTGCAGCAGAAGGGCGGGCACAGACCCAGGCTGGTGCCCCCACCAGGCAGCTATGGCCTCTGGGATGCAGGCCCCAAGCCCCCAAGGCCCCTTCTCCAGAGGCCCAACCCAAACAACACTCAGACGCTCTCGCTCCCTGCACACCCTGAGTCCCTCGCTGCCTCGCCTCCCCCAGGGCTACAGGCCATCTGTGCTTCGCGAGGGCCCCCAGCTTCTAGCACCCCAACAGAGGCGGAGAACACACCTTGCGATCTTAAGAAGCATGAAAAAGTCCCACGTCAGGGGACATATTTCAGGGACAACACCTGTTCCTACGCCAGCCCCACCTCTGACCAACGCTACCCTCTGGGCCTTGGACATAAGCGCCACCGACTCGTGTGCTCCAGACGCCAGGGACGCATGAAGCGAGGCCTGCCCTCCTCCAGGCCCTCCTGTCCCGGGCTCCCCCACGCTCCCATGCCAGGGGGGTCCGGGTGGGGTTCTGTCACCTGCAGGCCACGTGGGAATGGCCAGCGTGGGGCAGGGCAATGCCAGGTGCATGAATGAATGATACAAAGCTTCAGGAACATCCACTTTCTACACCCCTACTTCTCTATCATTACAAAGGAAAAAGAACAACAACCACTCCTTTTAAATCCATGTCCAGAATGGCATCCCCAGGGAAGGCCAATCTGGGGTCCAGCCCTGGTACCCGGACCGGACCGGCAGTGTCCAAGTCCTTTCTCACATGGGGACGCCCTGGACAGTGGAAGGGCCCAACCTTCTCTGGAGCACCTCCAGAAGCACCTGGCATCAGGGAGGGGGACACGCAGGCTGCAGGTCCAGGTGAGCCTCAGGGCCCCCAGGGGTGCACGCCTCGGACCGCCAAGCCACAGGCGGGGTCCCAGGAACCCACAGCAACCTGCCCGCCAGCTCCCCGCCAGGGCCAGCTCTGGGAACAGCAGCCGGGCACAAGGGCTGGGAAGCAGGACAGGAGAGGCCTGGCGAGGCCAGTGGTGCCCGGGGCAGGCAGCAGCTGTGCGGATTTCCGGAAGCCCGGGCAGAGAAGCGCCTGTGATTCCTAGTTCCCCTCTTAAAATATAAAGACTCAATTATCTTTGAGCAGCTTGCTTTACACATGAATTGACACATTTATTTTACAATAAATAACTGAAAGTTATCTGTGTTTCCTTTACTGTTAATCTACACAGAGAAATAATAAACAGAGCTTGTCTACAAAAATGCAACTACTGCAGTCCTCAGAATTCAATTAAGCTAAAATAATTAATGCTCCCACCATATTAAATTACTTTATACATTTGAGCCACTGAAGTTTTATTCTTTAATCTTTCCTTTTTATTAAATAAAAAGAAAGAAAAGTTAGTGCCCAAGTAGGGGAGGGGAAAAAAGACAAGGAGGCCAGGAAGAACGAGACCGGTGTTAAAATGGAATGGCCGTCTTCGGCTGACACAGCATGGAGACTGTTTTGTGCCTTTGATTAAAATAACATTTTAAATGCTTTGAACAAACATATCTCTTTAGACTTCCAAGGGATTATTTTACATATTTCTTCCAGAACGAAGAAATCCATTCGCCCTGTCGCTGAACAGAAAAGGCCAGGAATATCTTTCGTCACACATAAAATAAATAGACTGTAGGCTGCTGTAGCATTAGAGGCCCCCCAAAAGGAGGGGGTGGGAGGATGAGGACAAAGCTGCCATGGAGATTAACCTTGCCTTTCCTGAAATCACATCGAGGCGCTTTCTTAAGCCAACCTACCCACGAAGATCCTTCGCCTCTCCTTGGGAAACACCTCCAACGTGGAATGCTGGTTTGCAGGGTTTTGGGGGGAAGCTGAGAGCCCTTCCATTGAAACTTAAATAGAGGCAGAAGCCATCCCTGAAAGGCCAGCCCCATTCTGCTGAAAACGATCCCTCCAGTGCAGGGCAAAGAAAAGAAAAGGGCGAGGACCCTGAGGACAGGGAGGCGCCAGCCCTCACACCTGAGCCACCTCACACCTGCGAGGCATCAGAGGTGCTGGGGCTTCCGACGGCGGCCTGGACGCAGGGCACTTGTCTGCAGGCCCATGGACATTATGACGGGTCCCAGGCTGGGGCCCCCCCGCCAGTCTGGCGCCAAGGGGTCCCCCAGACTAGCTTGGTCAAGCACGAGCCCACATCTCTCCATGCGAGAGAGATCTCATTAGTCCCATTTGACAGATGGGCAAAGTGAGGCCGAGTCTGCGGGGCTGACAACACCTGAGTCCCGCTGCGTGCCTGCTTCTTCTGTGACCAGGCAAGTGGAGGCGGAGGCACCCGTTTCCCCAGCAGGCTAGCTCCTTACAGGCTGCAGCGCCACAGCAAATTTCCACTGGCATAGCATTTATGGAGCCGCTGTTCATTTCACCTCACACCAGTCCTGCCATTATTATTCCCTTTTGACACACAGGGAAACCAAGGCATGGACCCAGGAAGCAGCTTGTCCCAAGTCAACCAACAGGACTCGAACTCCAGTCTCGCAGCCAGACAGGCTGCCGCTTCTAGGGAACACAGGCCAACCAGGGCCCACCCTTCCGCGCTCCAAAGAACGAAGCAGAAGCTGTCAGCTCAGTCTGCAGAGAGCGGGCTCCCCAGAGGAGGCTCCGGACCCCAGTCTCGGCCCACGGAGAGGGACTTGAGGCAAACTCAGGTGGTGAGCAGACCTAGCTAGAGAACACACGTCCAGGCCTGGGGCAGAGGGCCCTGCCTGTGGGTGGAAAGCACCAGCTGCCCAGGACACGGGCTGGGTGGGCATGCCACCGGGCACTGCCATCTCCCCGATGGGCACCACACGCACCAAGTCCCCACAAGTCCCATCCCAGACCTACCAGGAGGCTCGGCAACGTCAGACAGGGCCTCTGGGGTCGGGGTCCTCACCCTCCTTTCACAGATGGGACCCTGAGGCTAGAGAGGGAGCTGGGGTCCCTGAGCACCTGCCAGCACGGTCCACACACAGCCTCTCCCACAGCCTCACAGACAGGTTTCCAGAGCTCCATTCACAGAGGGGGAAACTGACCAGTTGGGCCAAGGCGAAGCACAGATTCCAGCCCAAGACGCTCTGCCCCAAGTCAGCGACACCAGGGAGGGCCGAGCGGACTTCCGAGTTTCGCCCTGAACCTGGCGCCAGCAGGTTAGGCCCTGAGACAGCGTTCTGCTGAGTGGAGCAACAGCGGGCCGCACAGGCCTCCTCAGAGCCGCCTGGACACTAGGCCCGGCTGGCAGCCCCTGGCCCTCCCAGCACCATCACCCTCGGATGGAGGGCAGGCCCCGGGCGGTGGCCTCACAGCGGCCGGCGTGAGCAGAGGACCATACCTGCAGTGTTCTCCTGCTTGGGGCAGATGCCTTTCGTGGGCGACAGCAGGTGGTCGTCTTCGTCGGGGGTGACCTGGATCCCGATCTCCACGGGCTCGGACACTTTCCTGAGCTCGGAGCGCGAGGAGGGCGGCGGACTGCCCTTGTCCAGGCCTTTGTCATAGCAGGCACCCAAGCTGCCGCCACACTGCTTCTTCTTGTGCTCTATGAAAACCAGGATGTCCCCCAGGGGGAAGTTCATCTGACACTGTCCACAGGTGAGCAGGTCAGGGTCGGGGCCACCCACCATCAGCCCCAGGCCGCTGGGCTCCTCTATCTCCAGCCCCTCATCTTCCTCGAGGATGGCGGCCTCCACGGGGTCAGCCTCTGCTGGAGAGAGAAAGGACAAGGGGGGCAGAGAAGACAGAGGTGGGCTTAGGCAGTCACAAGCACCCATGGTTCCTTCCAACCCTTCCCCACCAAGAGGGAGGCCCCGCCACTGTGGGGGGCCAGTCACCGAGTCCTGCCCGGGGCGCCCAGAGGCGCAGGTTCACATCCCTGGCGGGTAAACTGAGGCTCAGGGAGCCACGTCGAGGCTCCCTGGGGGTGGCTCCCGCAGGGCGGATTTCTGCTTTCTAGCTTATTTCCTGCCAGTGCCTCCCCAGCCGAGCTGCACACGCATGTCCACGTGCCGGCCTCACAGGAGACACTGTCCTGAGACTCCAGACGGCCTCACGTCTCTCAAACTTTGCCATGTCTGAGAACCAGCTGGGAGCGCTGGGCAGCCTCTCCGCGGCCCACGCTGAGCAACCCGGGAGCCATATCAGGCCACATCAGGCCGCTGCTGCGCTGTGCGAAGACCCCAGCAGGCAGAGGAGCCTGCAGTGGGAGGCAGAGCCAGAGCCAGAGCCAGAGCACTCACCCAGCCCAGGCCGGGCTCTCCTCCCTTCCCTTTCACCTTCCAGTCACAGCCTCGGCTCATGCCCTCCTCCCTCATCCTCCACCTGAGGCCTGGGGCACCACAGGAGAAAACAGAAACCCAGAGGCTAAGGGTCCTGCCCCGCAGAGGGCGTCCTGGGGAGAAGGGAGCCCAAAGGCTGGTAAAGCAACGTGAGGGTGGGCCCAGGAGCAGGCGGGGCAGGCCAGGGTGCGGGGCAGGCCAGGGTGCGGGGCAGGCCAGGGTGCGGGGCTGGGTGGAAAGGGGCAGCCTTCCTGCTACCCCCGCGCTGGTCCCACCGCCCTTCTCTGCAGAGTCCCCCACTGCCCGGTCTGGTGGTTGATTTTATGTTCACTCCAGAAAGAGGAAAGGAAAGAATTCTTTTGAGTCCCCAAGCACCGGCAGCTGACACCGCATTCCGGGGGGCCGCGCGCTTATATTCCTGCAGCAGCCACAGATCGCCCTCACTTGTTTATAGTATTTATTTTGGGGTAAAGGGCACAGGATGCAAATATTTTGAAGCCCATAAATGCCTTAAAAAGCAGGGACCCCCTCAGGAAAGACTGGGAGACCGGGCAGGGGAAGTGTGATGACTAGGGGACTGCACGGTGACGGCGACGTCTTGTTCCCTCGGCCCCAGCAAGCCAGGGTAGAATGTTTGCAGAGCAAAGGTCCGCCCTGGAGAGAGGGCCCGTAGCAGGGCCTTCCCCAGGCGAGGGGCAGCCAAGGACCGGACACCCGAGCAGGCAGGTACATTTTTCAGCTGTGTGGTATTTAGCAAAGGGCTGTGAAAACCACAGAAGAGCCGAGAAGCAACGGAGGAGGAAGCACATTCCGTGGCAGTGAAGTTATTGACGGGCTGGAGCCAAAGAACAGATAATTTAAGGAAAAAATTCTGTGGCAACTTCCATCCGACACACAAATCACTGTCATTTCTGAACACAAGTTCCTCCAGGGCCTGAGTCGTGTGAGAGCCCAGTGTGGACACAGAACAGGTCTGAGGGGTGCCTGTGCAGGGCGGGGTGCCCGCAGGGCTTGCTGGGAAGGGGGTGGGCCGCCCGACATCCATCCGTGCACAAGGGGAGAGGGGGACCCCCACAAGTCAGGAGTAGACGCGCCCCAGCCGTGGCCAAAGACCCTGCAGAGGAGGAAGCCAAGCCTGGCCTCTGCATCCCTCTCACAAAGCAAAATCCTATAAGGTACGGGAAACCGTTCTCACAAAACCAGCCCCAGAAACCATTAATTACACTTTAAAAAGAAATCGAGTTTACTTAAAAAGGAGTTTTGAAGACAATGCTCCATAATTAATTTACCAATTTATTTTATGAAAAGATGCTTTGCTATGGTTAAAATGTAATCACAACCCTCATGCCCAACGGTGTGTGTGTGGGGGGGTGCCTGTGAATGGCTTGTCAGAATGTAAAAGGTAATTATTCGGTGCCTCTTTTCCCTTTAATGATCTAACATTGAGCAATACTGTTTATATTGAAAAGCTCGCACCTTTAATTACCAATTACATATACATAATTCCAGAGCCAAAGGAGAGGGCTGTGAAAACAGTTCTTTAGAAATATAACTATGTATTGTGCACCATTTCTAGAAAAGGAACACTAATAAATAGGAGGAAGATGTCAAAATATTGTTTTGTTGAGAGAGAGAGAGAGAGAGAGAGAGAGAGAGAGAAAGGAAATGAACTGAAAAGTTAAAAAAAAAAAGGGTGGGGGCAAAATGAAATGGAGAATTCAAAGGCCGCAGGGCGAGCTCTGGCAGGAGGGTGGCGGGCCCCGGTGCCAGGGAGGTGCCACCCTGGGCAGGCCTGGCAGCCATTGCCTCTCTGGGTACAAAGCAAACAGCAGCAAACCCACCCAGCTCCCAACAGGACCCCCCCCCCCGCCCAGGGCGGGGGCTGTGTCTGTCCTTCAACATCCTCCTTTTTCCTTCTGCTCTGTCTTTCATTCACTCCCTCGCTGCTCCTGGGCAGGAGTTCCAGGAAGCAAGCTCATCTCCCTCTGCTAGCAGGTCTGGGGCTACATCATTTCAAATTCACTTTCAAACTCAAAAGAAACACAGACTAATTTAAAAATTAGCAAAGGTCACAGATGCCTGTGAGAGGCCCCCACCCTTCCATCTCTGCGGAGGATTCAGGAACAGCACTTTTTTGCCTTTTTTTGTAACATCTGGTATTCTTTCCTTTATTTGGCAACCTCTGCCTTTTCACTTTCCTCCTGCCCTTGTTGTGAGCGCCAGTAATTGAGTTTGAAAGTATCCCAGGCCGTTCACTGGGCTGCAATTCTGAGTTCTGCCTCCAGGCCCTCACAGCCAAGGTCCTGGGCAGCCAGGCCCTCTGGAGCCCCCAGAAAGCCCCCCACCAGGCTCTCCACCTCCCTGACCCAGGCCCCAAGTTGCTGACTCTTGAGGGAGGCAGGGAGGGTGAGAAGCAAACAAAACTCTCCTCCCCTCCCACTGTCAGTGTTGAAAGTAAAACTCCTTAAGATGACTGGGGGTGGGGGGGTTCACCCAACTCCAAAGAGGAGGGTTTCCTCTCCCCACCCCCTGGGTGTGGGGCTCTGGGCTTGGGCTTGGGCCTGCTGCCCATGACACTTCCCAGGAAGGTGGTCACGTCACCCCCAACGTTCAGGCAGCCGAGTCACCCCAAACCCCAAAACTGTCAAATTTTTGGGTCAAAGCGAGCAGGTGGCCCCAGGCAGCTTGCTGAGTCTGAGAGCTCACGCTTGAGGCCCTTGGAGACACCCCCAAAGACGGGCTGTGGTTTCATTTCCGCTGGCAGGCGGATACCGACTGGGGCGTGTGGGGTACGTGTGTGTGTCCCTTCTTAGAACTGTATCGATGATGGAAGAAATAAAAGAAAGCGCCACTTTGCCCAGCTCAGACCAGGGCACCTAGGTACCTGGCCCTCTGGGTACCGAAGGACCGTCCTGGGCCGGTCCTTCGGCCTCAGCCACCCAGAGCCTCCCTGCTGTGCACAGCCGGGGACCAGGCTGGGAGACGCAACCTCAGCTGTAAGAGCAGACAGGTCCCAACTGCCTCCCAGAGACAAGAGAACCCCCAGGAAGGAGCCGCAACACAAAAAAACAAAACAGTCCTTCCTCCACAACCAGGCCCACCCCAGCCTGGACGCGCTCCGCAGGCTCGGGCCTTCAGCACAGACAAAGGTGTGTGTCTCCTCTGAGACCATCTGCTTTCACAAAAGGCTCCCCAAGGGTCCGGTGGCCCTGAACACAGCGCGACTCCCACTCTCATCAGCCGAGGAAAGTGGAGAGCGTGCTGACATGCCTGCTCCTCGGGAGAAAATGAATGGGCGAGCAGGGAACTTGCTCAAATGTCAGCTCTCGGAGGATCGGGTTGGGCCCTGAAATGTTACAGCCTCAAGTGCATGGTCAAATATATATTTACACACACACACACTCACTCACACACACACACAGAGTTCATTTTCTTTTACAACAAAACCACATTTTATGTACAAGCCTGGGCCTCCTCCCAGCTGGTAAACCCATTTAGAAGCAATGAAACCAGGGCTCACAAATAATAATGGACATTGTTGTTAAGTAGCCGGGAAGCACTTGATCTGAAGACAAACTCCCCCGTGCCTCAGCATGCTGGGAAGGAATTTGGGGCAGAAGACAGAAATGAAAAGACCTTGTTAACACTGGGTCAGCCAGGCGGCCGGGTGCCCCCAGCAGCTGCAAAGGCTTAGAGGACCGTACCTGGTCGGTGACCCTCCCCCGCCAGCCTCCAGGGGCCCGGCCGCCTGGGCATCCCCGCACAAGGGTGCCCACGCACCTGCCCTGCGGGAACACCAGCCCCAGGCGGCTGCCTGTGTCCCAGAGCATGCCCGGCACACAGGCCTTGCCCCCCCACCCGCGCCGCCCCCAGCCATCCAAATCTCTGTCTTTAATGGCTAAGCCGGGAAAACAGGCACAGAACTCTTGTTTCAGTGATGAAGGGGGAGGGGAAGGGGAGGGGCGCCAGGCGCTTAAAATCCTGTGCCACCAACGCCCCAGTCGCTGGCAGGACGCACAGGCGCATCTGCAGGAAGGACCTGCATCCATCCGCCCGGGTCTGCAGCCCACAGTAGCTTTGACACCTGCTTCCTACGAAGACCGCGCCTCCTCGCAGCGAGCCGCTTCCCAGCAGGCTTCCCTGGGATCTTCTGCTCTCCTCCCGGGAGCGTCCAGGGAGGGGCTGGGACTCGCCTCCGACACGCGGCGAGGGAGCACGGCACTTTCTGAGCTGCCATCAATTTTTAATTTATTGGATCCAAGAGAAAATAACAACCGTGGGAGGGGGGAGGGAGAGGGGTGGATGGGAAAGGGAAGGAATCAATTCTTGGTGGAGAAAATAATCTATGTCTAGATGACGCTTAAAGGCACGACAAGAGGTTTTATGAAGTTCTCCGAACAGAGGGAATAATGAAGTGCCGGGCAGAGGA